CTAACTGTCAAATTTAAGTATTTACAGCTGACTTAAATTAATTGATATATTTACATTCATTCAAAATGTAAACATGGAAAATTTGGAAGCCCATGGGACTTAGCCCAAGGGAAATAAAAATAAAATGATATAATATTGCATTGTCATGCATTTTGTGAGCAATGTTTCAAGTTTCAAGTCTCTAGCTTATCGCAAACTTTGTTTGAAATTGATATCAAAATTTGTAAGAAAGCGAGCTAATAAAAACAAGCCCATGGGGCCCAAGGGAAATAAGCCCAAGGGAAATATGATAATTAAATGATATAGTACCGTATTGCATTGTCATCCATTTTTGAGCTATGTTTCAAGTTTCAAGTCTCTAGCTCATCGGGAAGTTAGTCCTATAAAATTGATTGCAAAATTTGTACTGGACAAGTAAGCGAGCTAATAAAAACGTTTAAAAAAATACTAAAATTCAACAGAACAGTGTCTAAAATTGTTTGGCAACTTATAAAATCTTTGATAAAGTAGGGCCCTACAAAATATAAGTGAGCAGGGGGGGGGTTTAGGGGGGGGGGATCTTATGGGGGGGGGTTCAGTGGCGTAGATACGGGGGGGGATCAGGGGGATATATCCCCCCCTTCAACCCATAATGGGTAAAAAAATTGTAATAACATCAAAAAAATAATGTTTTAACGTATGCAATGAAACAGTGAAACTTTTTAATTTTACTTCTATTGTATTAAGCTTGTTTTTCGTAAGTATACTTTCAATATCAATAAATCGTAAATAAACTGAAATGCCAGTAAAAGTAGTATGGTTTTTGCGCGCGAAACAGAGTACAGACACAAGTCACGGAAGGTCAACAGCCTATCCGCCCCTCTCCCTTCCGCCACCACTTTTTCACCTTTTACACCTACCTGAAATTAATCGTTGTAACGTGAGCAATAAAATAGTTAATCAAATGTCATGCCTATTGTACTAAGCTTGTTTGTTTGTACGTATACTTTCATTATCAATGAATAAATGGAAACAGATAAACTACATTCCGGTAGCCGGTAGCAGTGGTGGGGTGGGATATTTGCGCGCCAAACAGACGTGAGTCACCGGACGTTCCGCGTTCAACCGCCCATCGACACCCTCCTCCTCTAAAACCCCGTCTCCTACACTACGCTTGATCTGTCGTCTGGGGTTAATTATTGTGCCAGTGTGTTTTTATCACTGAGCTATAATTCTAACTGGAGGTAGCACTGAATGTCAAAGATGCGTGTCGCCAGCCGCCATGTTTGCGTGAGGCGGGTGTCATAAGAAGCCATGTTATTGCTATGACAAAAAAACTCACTGCTATACCAACCTAGTTATAAGAAGCCATGTTATTGCTATGATAAGAAAACCCGATGCTATACCAACCTAACAAAATCAGCGACACGCTTTTGACAGACTTCTGCCATGGCAGTGCTACCTCCAGTTATAATTTTAGCTCAGTGGTTTTTATGATTTTCGTATTCCGTGGTGTCTCATGAGTGTTCTGAGTGTCTGTGAAGTAAACTGATCGGGTTTTTCGCCCCAAAACGAAAATTTGGAGGCGTTTTTTAGCTGGTGTAGCAATGGAACAACGAAGTTAAGTGATTTTATTACTCGCCTTTGAAATAAAATTTTTTTAATAGGCCAAGTCACATTATATATACATTACGTTACTAGTCCTGAAAATAAGTGTTTACCGGACAAGTGTGGTCGTTCCCGTGCGAGACGAGGTCGAGTACGGGATTACCATGCGAGTTCGGCAAACACATTTTGGACGAGTTACGTACAATAGTTTACGCCATACTACTAAATCTTTACAAATCTTTATATATGACCACCAACTAAAGGACTAAAAATCAATAGTCGTAATCTCTAAGAGAGGTTATGTTTTTGTTTATAAACACTCACTGCCACGCAAATACAGTGTATAATCAGCTGATTGGTGTCCGGTAAAACTCATTACAGTACAGTAGTAGTAGTACGCAATGAAACCCCATTTGATTAAGCTGGCGGCAAACAGATGTTTTCTGGACTATAAATCCTTGCGTGGGAAGTTCATCAAAATAGTTTTGTGTGGGCGTGTGGCGTAAACATATTAATAAAAATATTCAGTGTTAAAGGAAGTGTTAGAGAAACATAACGTTAAATGTTATCATATAACGAAAAGCCTAGCCTAAGTACTTTAAAAATAAATGTAATAAAAAAACTAGTCCACCTGCAATTAAAGCGAAAAGTTGCAACAAAATTGCATAAAATGTATTAAGTATTAACACCAGATTTCACTTCCTAAACGCTTAAAAATAGTGTTTAGGGAAGTTATTTTTCTCTAATTTTCCGCTGGAGGACCCCCCTTGCTTGCTGGGGGGTATTCCAAACCCCCCAGACCCCCCGGTATCCCCCCCCCCCATGACAAGAGTCTATCTACGCCACTGGGGGGGTTCTACTAGTAGGTGTTTCACCGCTCTGAAAAAAATTGTTGGTGTCTTCCTCCACTTTAAGGGGTTCAGGCAGCTCGAGTTATCGAGCTAACGGACACATAAATATATATAATATAGGGTGAATGTGAGTAATTGTGAACTAGGGCTGAAATTTCTTAGTGTATTGTTGATTTGAGTAGAAATCAATGTTTTATGTTTATTTGGTTTGTTTTCTATACAGGATAAAAATTCTAGAAAGTTAAGAGCCGCTTAAAATTTTTTTTTAGGTTGAATAAAAAAAGTTGCATTTTTCGTTGACAAACAAGTTGCGTAGACCTTAACAAATATTTTTTTTTGTGAAAAAAGTAAAAGTCAGATTGACATGAAAACCAGTCATTATGGAAGTATTTCAAATGTATAATGCATTATATATCCTCATACCCTTCTTGTAAGCAATTTTCTTTTTATTTTATCAAATTCACAATTACCCTCAATATTTCACTATGTGGGGGTAATTGTGAACCTAATCTTGGGGCAATTGTGAACGCTGTTCACTTTTACCCCGCCTGTAAAAGAAACACAGATTAGGTACTTAGAAAGTTTCCAGGTTGTGTTCAAGTTTTTGATATGTAGGCGGACAGAAAAGTTAGTAGGACATCCTGTTAGTGATTTTATTTCTAAATAGGCTAGTTTTTTTGGTTTTTCAAGATAAAAAACCCATTTTTAGAACAACTAATATTTTGTATAGCCTAAAAGGAAAGTGCCTTATTATTTTATCTAGGCTAACCAAGTTAATTTATTTTTCTATTCTAATGGTTGATTGTTATTACAGGATTTCAATAATTTTAAGAAACAAATTTGTGCTCTTTCGTTGATTAAAGTGAGATTATTTGGTCATTTCCTTTAAATTTTTACTTTACTGTATCAAATAACTACAGTACCGGTACTCTATATTATTTTCTTTTGTACAAGAATACTATTTTACCCATTAAGTAGCCTACATTAATTTTAATCATTTTGACAATTTTTTATTATTTTTACATCTAGGCCTAGGCCTACCTGATTTTCTAACTATTTCAAAGTACCACGGAAAAATCTCATTTGCACGCTTATTTTTTGTCAAATGCCATTGAAAGTGGGGAATTTGTGAACAGTTTGAATCAGGCTTTAATCACAATTCCCCTCCTGTGCTGTAGTATGTAACTTGCAATTGTGAATGCCGTCCGGGCAATTCTGTATTATGCTGAATAACTCCTTGACTAAATAGGGGATGAAATCGGCTTGTATGAAATATTAAGCCCAAAATATGTATAATGCTATAACACTGATCACATTTTTAAAATTGCTTACGATTTTCTTATAAATTGCGTTTATCTGAAAAATTTGTCATTGGCGTTCACAATTACCCACGTTGACCCTACGTATGAATTTTAACGGATGGTGATTTTCGCCTCTAGGGACCTCAAAATGAAAAGGAAGTCCCGGGTCCGAGTCTTACCATGAGTAAGTTACTACGGTAGGCCTAGTAGCTTATTCCCTATATGGGAAATTAGCTAAAATGACATCTTTTCCCAGGGTAGACATTCGGCATAATTGCCGTGACTTCGACTAGGCCTACTTGTCTGCATTTTGGAAATTTAATGAATTTAAGTTCTTAGGCCGATCTTGTAAAAAATGGCGTTCACCGTTGATAATGAATAAATGAACCCCAAGGCTAACGCAATGTTGAGGGGTACATTGATTAATTATCAATATTTTTAACTACCGTAGGCCTATACCATGAAATTAAACTGTTAACTTATTTAAGTAACCTAAGTAAATTGTTAAACGAAACTTGCTGATGATAAAAATAAAACTAATGAAGGTTTACTAAGTTAATCGAATTGATATTTTTAATCGACATTACATTAGGGTAGCCCAGTTAAGAAACTGTAGGCCTACCCGATTTGAAGATAGGCGTAAGTTACTGTTTGAGCCTATTTGTGGGTACGTAGCCTACAGTATCTTATCTGGGCTACGCTAATATCGATTGAAACTATGGTTTCAATTAGTAATCCTTTATGCGATTTTTTCACTATCAGCAAGTTTGGTTAGGTTATAACAGTTTCATTATTGGTAATCTTGAGCAATTACTCGGTCAACCCCAAACTTTATCATATTTCACTACGGTCATAAGGAGGTTCTCAGAAAACAAGAAACATATAATTCAAGGCCCGGAAGGTCATCGTACAGGTTGCCGAGTGATAAGAAGGTTCAAAGTCTATGCGATAACAGTGGCTTGCGGGAGAAGGGCGGAAGGCCAGTTGTGACAGTACCGTTATGTTATGTTAGGTTAGGTTAATACATAGTATTAACCTATCATATAATTCATATACCTCCAGGATCATTATAAATTAACCTAACCTAACCTTGCGGGGGCTTGAATTAGGCCTATGTTTTTTGTTTTCTGAGAACATCCTCATGACCGTAGTAAAATATGAAAAAGTTTGGAGTTGACCAAGTAAACTTAATTGCTCAGAATTACCATAATTTTGATAAGCTATAACTTACTGGCTGTTGTGAAATACTTTCATAAGTTACCTGGGGATGAGGTGGATAAGAAGGATATCCTGGATAACTCATGGTTGAAGAACAGAGATCTAGGAAAAACGATAGGCCTGTTAGACAACAATGCTATTACAAGTGAAATCAACAGTTCGGACCAACAATATGTAAGTTAGCCTACTATGATTTGATACACATCGAGACGACTAATGACTGACTGACACTACACTACTTACTACTAACTAACACACTTAGTGGGTGAGTGAGAGTGAGATGAGGATGAGAGTGATACTAACTTCAAATTTAAAATTCACTCACACTCACACAACGACACAACACAACACACACAAACAGCAGATCGTCCGTCAGTCGTCAGCTGACGAAACGCCCAGTGTAGCCAACATAATTGGAGTTGCCACCGAACTTGTAGTGACCATATTTTTAATGTTTATCTTTACATTAATCAGATTAGCTTCAATAACTAAATGTAATTTACAATACAATTAGATTTTTAACTATTCCCAGGTATTGACATGGTTGACATTGGCTTTTTACTCACATTATAACTGGTGTGATACTTTTAGTGTTTTGGTAACAGTTTCAGTAAACAGATGACTCATTGTTGGACTGTTGGTCAGGTGACGTGTTGTGATACTGTACTACACTATTTTTGGAAGAATGAGGGTTTACCATGACGTCAAATAAAATGTATGGTTTGACGTCACCGTCACCGTCTCTCCTTCTACAAAGTGTGACCATCTGACCTTGTTTATATAGTCCCGCTGATGACTGCAACAATTATTTAAGTTCGAATACGAATAATACGTTATCTATAGCTGCGCGCGCACTACGGCGGCACGGCACGGACGGGCGGGCGGCACGGCAATTTTTAAAAGTTAATAACATTGAATGTCATATGAGTGCGCCCACTACGGCGGTACGGCCGGCAACGGACGTTCGGCAGCTTCTGCCGTTTGTTAAAAAGTCCGGGAGACAGAACTCCAGGACATTTCCGAGCTGCCGTGACGCCCGTACCGCCCGTACCGACCGGGAGCACTGCACACCGACCGGGCGGGCGGCACGGGACATCCGCCATTCTCAACTGATCTCTGTCAAAGTAGCAGTGTTTTCGTATGTTGTAAACATAGATGTTAGTAAGTTGATTTTTCTCGTTGATAAATACCCTAAACTGTACAACATGCGACATCCGGAATATTTTAATAACGTCCGACGTGACAATATATGGGCAGAAATATGATCTATTATGAAACAATCAGGTAAGTTTTACACATAATCCTTCTACAAGATCAGGAAACAAGGTGTGGAACTCTCCAAAACTTAGTCTTTTCCTGTTTATGTGGTGTGTATCTAAAATCTTTGCTTGCACCTTCTTGTCTCCTCTTCCTCTGCTAAAATTATACCTACTATCACCACATTATCTACATCCATCTTTACTCACAATTTTTAGCTCGCAGACTGTCAACTGTCCTAAATTGCGGATGTGCGGATGTCCCGTCCCGTCCGTCCGTGCCGTGCCGCCGTAGTGCGCGCACCCCCTCTTAAAAATGCCGTCCGTGCCGTACCGCCCGTCCATGCCGTGCCGCCGTAGTGCGCGCGTAGCTTATCTCTCTCTTTCTCCCTCTCCCCCTCTCTCTCTCACTCTATCTCTCTCTGGTGAGTAGTATTGACTAATGAGGGATTCACGCGTTGATGCACAAAGGTTAAATTTGAAAATGAATCACCAAACATTTCTGCCAGTAGTGGAACGGGGATATAAGTTAGTTGCGCATTGGGTTATAATTCAAATCCGGTAGGTTAGTTGAGCATTGACAGCTTGAACAATATCGATCTCTTGAAATTATAAAGAGCAATGAAGCGTACGAAAAAGCCAGTCAACCGAAATCTTACTAATCTTATCTTACTAATATTATAAATGTGAAAGTTTGGTGTTCGTTTGTATTAGAGACATTGATGGAGAACTGACCCACGACCCCTTAAACATTGCCAACAAATTCAATGACTACTTTGTGAAGCACAATGATAAATCAGTAAAAACATGTAGAAAACCCGTAGCTGAACAGCCAAAGGAATCTTTTTTCTTCCACCCTACATCTGAGAAAGAAATAAAAGAAGTAATAGCAACCCTGAAAAAAAAAAAACTCAGCTGGAGTCGATGAAATATCAGTTAGAATGTTAAAGATTATCACTGACTTACTGGCAGAACCCATCAGCCACCTGATAAATTTGTCCTTTTCTTCTGGTTGTTTTCCCGACTCCCTAAAGCTTGCAATAGCCAGACCAGTATTTAAAAAAAGGTGACTCTAAAGATCTCAACACCTATCGGCCTATCCATTTTCACTGCTATATCTAAAGTGTTTGAAAAAGTAGTATTATTGCGCCTAACAAAATTTCTAGAAAAACATGAAATAATTAGTGAATCCCAACATGGCTTTGTAAAAAATAAATCTACCGCCAGTGCGATGTTTGCTCTCATTGATGACATCGTGAGTGCTCTTGATGAGGGGAACTGTTCTGCAGGCCTGTTCTTTGATCTGAGCAAGGCTTTCGACTCAGTAAATCATGACCTCCTACTTGAGAAAATGAAAAGTATTGGAATCAGAGGCTTGGCTCTAGAGTGGTTCTGCTCTTATTTGAAGGGAAGGAGGCAATGCGTAAGGGTGTCGTCTGTCGATGAACATGGATTACTACGACAATATAACTCACCCGAACGTCCTACATTGAGTGGTGTGCCCCAGGGTTCCATTCTTGGCCCTACTCTGTTTATGTTGTTTGTAAACGATCTCCAATGACTGGAATCCAATCGGCCAGGGCTTTCCTTTATGCCGACGACACGTCTCTCGCATTGTCCGGCCCCACTGTGGAATCCATAGAACAATTAACATTTGCAGAGGCCAACTAGCTCAGTGGTTTGACGACAATCTGCTCTCTGTCAATTCCCTTAAAACGCATTTTCTTAATTTCCACATCTCCGATGTTCTTCCTCATCGTTTAGCTTTCATCTAGATGAGTATCCTGTCCACCCCATTAGTTGCACTAAATTTCTCGGATTGTTTTAGACGACAAGTTAAAATTTTACCATGATATTGACCACACCCTTGCAAATTCGACGAAATCTGATGTCCTACTTTCCGCCTATTATGGCCTTATTTCCCCACATCTTACCTATGCCTTGCCCATATGGGGGTAGTAGAATAAGTGGACCTTATTTCTATTCCGTTTGCAGAAGCGGGCAATTAGAGCTATATTTTCTTTAAGAAGACGACAAACCTGCAAACCATTTTTTCAAACTGCAAACATCTTAACGTTTCCATCACTTTACATCTACAAAACCGTGTCATTCCTAAAACAAAACATCGACAAGTTCAACAATTCCCATAACCATGCTTACAATTTAAGAACTTCTTATAATCTTCCAGACCCTGTCCACTGTACAACCTTTTTAAAAAAAAAAATCTCCGTTACAACGCAGTAAATATCTTTAACCACCTTCCAATGCATCTAAAGGCAGAGTCAGACCATCTGAAATTCAAAAGGAAGTTAAAAACTTTTCTATTAAATAAATGCTACTACAGCGTTCGTGACTTCCTGACTGACGGCTAGAATCTTAATTTTCCTTTAGACAGAATGATTTGTAAAAAAGTATGTTTAAGTTAATTTTATTATTTTAAGTTCAATTCCAATGCATATTATATTATTTTGACCTAACCTATACATGTAATTGTATATACTTGGTTCAATAAACGAGTTATTGAGTTTGAAGTTCAATCACGCATGAACTACTGGAGGGATTGGGCTGATGAATATTATTCATAATAAATATTTTATATATTTAAAGTTGTATTTGATAGAACCTCGAATAATATATATATATAATATATCTTTAATAATAGTTTGATATATTCAAATATATATTTAAAATATTCCCAAAAAGCAATGCAAAATATAAATTAAATATAAGTTTTGAATATATCAAATACATTCATAATATACAGGGTGGAACGAAGTTAGTGTTAAAAAATGTTATGTGTTAAACTACTAAGTATTGGTGATAAAATGGCACAAATTTAAGTTTCCATACCCTCACAGGTAGGGAATAACAGACAATTTAAAATTTTTTCTAAATATTTGTACTTACTTACATAAAATGGCCATAAGTGCATTAAACATTGTTTTTATTCCAAATTCATTGTCATTTTCAGAATCCTCGTTAAATTTCCAATAGTAATAGTACAAATTCATTGAGATTAAACATCTGCATAAGCCCTTATTTGACCATGGAAGTTTGAATTTGTGATTTTTTATAAAAAAGTAATAACTTTTTCCAAAGTTTTTCTATACTACACTGGACTGTAGAGAGTGTCAAATATTACTAAAAACTTCTGCAGTTAAAAACCTTTAAAATGATGTACAAACATGTTCTGTTCCTTTGATTTGTCGTTCTCAAATTTAAGAGTTTCTCATGAAAAACACGGAACGGCTAATGTTTAATTTCCTTTAAAATAGCATGTGTATTTGCTTAAATAATATGGCAATAGCTGCAATAACAGTTATATTTGAATAGGGTCTATTGTAATTTTTAGAATCCTTGTGAGATTTTTTGTAAGAATATTAAGGATCTATTTGGATTAACATCCATATAAACGTATGTTTTGTGAAAACATGTTAAATTAGTTTTATTTTTATTTTTTGAATACATTGAATATTGTTTGAAGTTACACATGGTACAATTAACTTAAGATTTTTTTCAAGCCTAAGCAAATACTTCCAATGGAGTAGCATATAAAATTATGTAGATACTACACTTTACAATGTTGTTAATATGTTCACCGAAAACCGAAAATTAACCTAAGTATAGTATACCAATTAATTGATTGTAGTGCTTAGACACATGCTAATGGAAATAACTCAGTCAAGTGATATATTTCTCAACTAAAATAATTGTTAACACCTCAAAAATACTTAGTTTTAGTTATTTATACAAAAAATAAAAGTTAATTCTAAAACACACAATATTCAAAACTTAAATAACTGTTCCTTACTTCCTTGACGTTTTAATAGTTGCCTTCTATTTGATGCCAACTACTTGAGTTTTTTTTTTAAATCTCCTCCATTTTCCCAGATACACAGCCAAGCTTTTTTTGCACGTGGCACCAACAGTAACATTAAAATACGACGTTCCTCTGACTAGCACATCTGCATTCATTATCCAGTAGTTAATTTCCTGATTATCTTCCACTAAAGATGAGTAGACCAAGTACTCCACATACGGTAACACACAAAGCAAGTCTAGTGGACTTAGGTCTGGCGACCTGGCATGCCAGCAAACCACAACATATGACCCATCATTATCATTCTTATCATTCAAGTTGTGTATTTTGCTTTAAGTCAATCTCGCACATCGGTTGAATGTGCCATAGAACTAACACCGTAAACGATATTTAATTTATTCCAATAAATAAGAAGAAAACCCCCTAAATGAAAATTCATCACAAAACATAGTTTCATAAAGTGTTCATCCTAACAATTCCTCAATATTCTTATTAGGAATTTTACAAGGATTATGAAAATTTCAATAATACCCATTTAAACATGATTTTTAAAGCAGCTGCTGCCGTATCATAAAAGCCAATACATGTTTTTTAAAGGAAATTAAACATTAGCCGTTCCGTGTTTTTCATGAGAAACTCTTAAATTTGAGAACGACAAATCAAAGGAACAGTAGATGTTTATACATCATTTTAAAGG